AGAGTCCTCTAGACAACAGTAACTGCATGTGCAAAGGCCTGGAGTAAGAAAATATAGCCAGGTAGTGATGCTGTGAATGGTTCAATGAGGCTAGAACTCAAGGTGCAAAGAGTGTAGTGGCCACAAATCACCAGCATCCTCCAAAAGCCAGGCTCACCTCCACATCCTCAGAAGCACCTCTCTCCCCAGGTCTGAGAAGAACGGTGCCTGGACAGGAGTGGACGCTCTCTGTACCTACCAGCAGCCCCCCAGTGGTCCTGGCCTACATGCCAGGAAGGTGTTCCATGAGCTGAGTTGGCAGACCCATGGCATCACCCAACTGGGCCCTTACACACTGGACAAGGACAGCCTCTACCTCAATGGTGAGTGACTCCTATTCCCACCTCCCTGGGCCCACCCTCTCCTCCCAGGAGGGCCTCTGTTTACTGGTTGTCCAGGGAAAGACTTGGAACAAAGTCAAGTGTAAATCCTGGCTCCACAATTGACCTCCCACAGCCACCTGCAAGGCTAGTCTTATATTAATCTCATTTTACAGATGAAGAAACAGAGGCTCAAAAATGTTACTTGCCCAAATGAGTATAGCTTAGGGGTGATAAGCTGAGGTATGAACTGCACTTGTTAGAATCCAAAGCCTTGATCCCCTCAACAAGATTAGCTCATAGAAGATTCTTCTTGAAGAAGCCCCAGGAAAAGAGATTTCCATCTGTCTCCCCTCCTTACTTCCAATGGACTTCTCTCCTGAGTGGGCCCCTATGACAGGAAGGCAGACAGGCACTCTGAACATCTAGAAAGTCTAAGCTGCAGACATGCATCATCTGCCTAGAACCTGGGAAGGGACAATGTTCTACAAGGCAGAGCAAGGCCATGGGGAAGTTGATCAGAATAACTCTCTTCCCTGTCCCTCCATCCCCAACCTGGGAATAATGCTTGGCACTCACACTCCTATTTGCTGCTCTTTTCACCATTGCCCCTAAAGTGGGATGGAGGATGTGGTCATTGAAAAAAAACAAAACCCATTGCCATCAGGTCAATTTTGACTCATAGCGACCTTATAGGACACAGTAGAATTGTACTGGAGGGTTTCCAAGTCTGTAATCTTTTCAGAAACTGAATGCCACATCTTTCTCATGTGGAACGGCTGGTGGGTTCAGACTGCTAACCTTTCAGTGAGCAGCTGAACACTTTAACGACTACAACACCAGGCCTTCTAAACCATTGCCATCCAGTCCATTCCAACTCATAGTGACCCTGGACCAGAACTGCCTCATAAGATTTCCAAGGTTGTAAATCTTCATGGAAGCAGACTACCACATCTTTCTCCCATGGAGTGGTTGGTGGGTTCAAACCAACCTTAAAGTTAGCAGCCAGGTGCTTAACCACTATGCCACCAGGGTTCCTAGTGGCCTTTATTACTCCCATTTTAGAAAAGGGAGACACTGACGCCCGGGGAGGTGAAGGGTTCTGCTCGTACCTACTGTAGGTTTATAGCCAGTCTGTGTCTTCGTGTTCTGTGTCCACACCTGTTCCATTGGCTTCAGCCACTGCAGGGGCTGTTGAGGATTTGCCCCCTTGGAAGGTGCACAATGTATATGCATCATTTTGTGCATCCATTCAGCAGTTGCCAAGCATCTACTAAAAGCCTGGCCTTGTGTCTGTCACCAGGGATAGAGATAAGTCAGATGTGTGTCCTATCTTAATACAAGCTTCAATGGGATAAGAACTTTTTTGCTCAGTGCTATATTCCCCAAATGTAAATGGAGGCTGGCACCTAAAAAAAAAACAAGCAGTTACCATCAAGTCAATTCCAACACCTTCTGGCAACCCCATATGTATCAGAGCAAAACTGTGGTCCATAGGGTTTCCAGAAGCAGAATGCCAGGCCTTTCTTTGGAGGTGCCTCTGGGCGGACTTGAACCACCAAACTTTTAGTTAGCAGCTGATCACTGACTGTTTGTGCCATCCAGGAACTGCTGGTAATGAATAGGTCAATAAATATTCAATGAAAGGAAGGATAGATTGGAGGGAAGGGTAGAAGAGGGAAAAGGCAGGTGGAGGGGTGGATAGATAGTTAGGAGATAGACATGAGAATGCAAGAGCCTCTTCCTGTGGGCATACTAGAGAACCAGGGAGAGAAAAGGTGGTTCTGAGGGATTGAGAAAACCTTTATAGAGGAGGTGACATTTAAACCGGATTTTAGAAAATGCATAGAAGCTTTCCAGGTACACAGAGAAAAGGAAATCCAGCAAAGGACCCACGTGGACAAAGGCACAGATGTATCCAGGACTGTCCTGCCACCTCCTCTTACGTGTGATGTTTTGTTTCCAGGTTATAACGAACGTGGTCCAGCTGAGCCTCCTACAAGTACGTACCCTTGCATCCAGTGCCCATGTCAGATTTTGAGTCCTGGACCAATTGTCTCTCCTCACTCATGAGGGAGTCTGCCCCTGTCAACCTGCTCACTGGGCCAACTCACAGAGCAAAACTGTCAAGCCAAGGTCTGAGGTCCAGGGTTGCCAAAAAAAGCACAACTTACACAGGCATTGGGTGGAACAACTCTTTATTCACAAAAGTAAGAGACAAAGCAAGGTTAGTTTCAATAGCAACATCAGTGTCCCATGGCCAGTGAGTCACTTCCTGCAGCTGATGCAGGCCTGATGGTCTGCACACACACCCCTTGTGCCACAGGTGAGAGACTTTGTTCCCTCTCCACCAAGAACAGATATAGATGTATTTGGCCAGATGCCAAATGCTGTACGCGCATGAGCAGAACAAAGAGAGTACTGTGTACCCAGAGCAGGAAGTGAGGATTCCTGACAAGGAGAAGTAACTGGGAGAGCAACTCAGTCCCCAGCCTTCATTATCAGGGACTGTGCTGGGCCCAAGGATGCTGATTAGGCAGCCTAGGTGAGAGACATAGAGACTGCAGCAAACTGTCCTCCCAATAGGCCCAAACTTAGGTAGGTCTCTCCTGAGTGGGGCCAAGCCCTCAGTGGGTGGAAGAAGGCTGGGTCCTTGACCTCTTCTGGGCCTAAACCATGGTGTTGACGTTCAGAAGTTTCCACACCCCCTAGGTTGGAGGAAAATATTTGGCACATGCATTCCGTACAGGTTTAGGGGCTGAGGTCAGATGATGACCTTGTATTTCATGCCTCTTGCTAACAGGAGCCCAAATAGGGGCGTCAATGTCAATCTGAAAACTCTGGCAGCTGCTCAAGTGGCTTTGACCAAATTGAACTATTTACTCATCCAGTGCCCCAATCATCTATCTTTCTACCCATCCATTCTTCCATCCTTCAGTCATCTCTCCTCTCAGCACCCATCCTCCCATTCATCCATCTGTCCTTCTATCCCTTCCTTCCATCTCTAACATTTCTTCCTTTTTATTCTTTCAACCCTCCATTTGCCTATCCTTCTCTCTGTCCATTCATCTTTCTGTCAGTTCTTCTGTCCATTCATCCATCTGTCCTCTTTGTTCAGCCTTTCTCTGGCTTATTTACTCTTGATCTCATTTGCATGCTCTTAATTCATTTGCATGCTTTCTTGGCCCTTCACTCACAGTCACTCTTCCCTTGTATTTCTGGTACATCTGTGAATGGTTGTTCTGGCTTGGACTACTAAAGCCCAGGTGAGCCCCTACTCTCTGTGGGGGGGGCTCCATTCCTCCCTGATAACTGTCCTTTTCACAGCTCCTGAGCTGGCCACCACAATCCTGCCCCCTTCATCAGCACCTGTACAGCCAGAAGCCACCACAGGTATCTGGGGTCCCCATTTCACTCTGAGGGAAGCTCTCTAGTCACATACCTCCACCACTTGTCAGGCTGTGAAGAGTTTCAAGTCAGGGTGATTATTCTGATCACAAAGATTAGGCCAGCAATTCAATAGGCTGCCTTCCCTCAAGGAGCTCCTGATCTTGTGAGAGAAACAGACCACTAAAATACAGTGTGGGGTCTTTTGGGGAGAAGCACCTGGTATGATTTAGGGGAGGAGGAGGAAGCTTATGAAGAAAGTTTCACTTGAACCGAGTCTGTAAGGGTTGGTAGAAGTGATCTAGGCAAATAGCACTTGAAGGATGGCTCTGTCAGACAATTGCATGACCACTGGCTCAGAGTCCTGAAACAACATCCTGTATGGGGAGCATTGAGAGAACTTGATTTGCATGGGCACTGGGAGTCAGCAGGAGCTACATTAGGAAGGCCCTTGAAGACCAGGTCAAGAAGCATGGACTTAACAGTGAAGGCCATACAGAGCAATGGGCAGTACTAGAGCAGAGGTGGCCCTTTCATTTCAGAAAGATTCTTAAGTGTTCAGTGTTTCTTCAGACAAGGAGCCTAATGAGACTTTAGGGGTGCTGAGAAGATAAGATGTGAGCTGGGACAGGAATGGAGAGAAGGGATGTATGAGAGAAACATTCATCAAATGAAATTGTTGTTACTTGGACATGAAAAACAGGGACGAGCTGGGGATCTATGTAGGTTCTGACATGGGTCACCCTGGGGTGGGTGGCGGTGGCAACAGGAGAGAAGACAATGGGTTATAATGAGTGCAGGGCTGCAATCTTGTCACAGGTCAGCTCTCAGGGATGGACATTTCTCCCCCTCCCTGCAGCTACAGACCACACCCTGAAGACCCTCACACTCAACTTCACCATCTCCAACCTCCGCTATTCACCAGACATGGGCAACCCTAGTTCTGCCACATTCAACTCCACGGAGAGGGTCCTCCAGCACCTGGTGAGATGCGGATTACAGTACCTCCTAATGGGGTGAACTCTGCCCAGCCTCTCCCCAATGAGGGAAATAGTGGTTCAGTGGTAGAATGCTCACCTTCCATGCAGGAAACCTGGGCTCAGTTCCTGGCCAGTGCCCCTCACGTGCAGCCACCACTGTCTGTCAGAGTAAGCTTGTGTGTGGCTATGATGCTGAGTAGGTTTCAGTGGAGCTTTCAGACTCAACAGTCTAGGAAGAAAGGCCTGATACATCTACTTCTGAAAATCAGCCAGTGACAACCCTACGGATTGCAACAGTTCAGTCTGCTATAGATCATGGGGATGGCGCAGGACTGGGCAGCATTTCCTTCTGCTGGACATGGGGTCACTGAATTGGGGCCTGACTTAATGGCAGCTAACATCAACAGCATCCCCTTCCCAAACTACGGTGCCTCCTGCTTACCTTCCAACCTCTGCCTCCCCAGCTCACACCCTTGTTGCAGAACAGCAGCCTGGGCCCCTTCTACTCAGCTTGTAGACTGATCTCCCTCAGGTAAGACTTCTTCCTGGCCATTTACCTGTACTGACCACCCCTTTTTGGGACTGCTCCTTTCTCAGTTTGCCCACTCCTCCCACTTGCTCCATTCTCTTTCTGGTTCTCCCACAAGAGGTCTGAGGACCTCTCCTGAGAGTCCCACATCCCTTCCTTCCCAGGCCTGAGAAGAACAGGACAGCAACCAGAGTGGACACCATTTGCAGCTATCACCCTGGTCCTGTGGGTCATAGCCTGGACAGAGAGCGGCTATACTGGGAGCTGAGCCAGCTAACCCAAGGCATCACTCAACTGGGTATCTACACCCTGGACAGAGGCAGCCTCTCTGTCAATGGTGAGTGCTTGTGGTAAACTTGGACTTAGAGTGACCATTACTGGTCCTTGTTCTATAGTTTTTCCTCTCCAAAATGTCATCCCCAGGCCTAATTGGAGGTCACCCCTCCCCAAACCACCATGGGTAGGGTATCATTATTTCAGGTAAATGCCATAGCATTCTTTGACCAAATTAATGCAACAGATTTTCATTCAAAATCAAAAAGTCTGAACCATATAATTCTCTGAGAC